AAGAAAGCCTTTGTTTAACTAAAATCAATCGTAACTTCTATGATGACACAGCTTCCCCAAACCGCGCGGCTAATTCTTGTGGCCTTTTAATCGGAAAAAGTGCGGACTTTCGTTCAACGCGGAAAACGTGCTGTAAATTTGTTTTATTGTTTGTAAATTCACCAATCAAGTTAGTTTTTCTTAATCGTCAGCTAGTGCAAACACAATTTAACAATCAGGACTATTTAAATAAACCACTTGCTAGAAGATTTCATTAAATTAACTTAGTCAGGATAATACCTTTGCTGTTTAATTATGAATAAGTTTCTGGATGCATATGCTTAAGTGTTACGTTATAACATTTCATAATTCTTCACACAAGATTGCTAATAGTTCATTCACGGCAGTTAAACTAATTCATACCGCGAACTGGCGGGGTGTTAAAATAATTTATTCCTTTAGGCGGTTATCATCGTTATTATCATAAGGATTATGATCACATCACTGGGGCATGTCCTCACCACGTTAAAGATTATTACATCATCGAGGCTTGTCCTCGCAACGTTAAAGATTGACTAAATTTTCGAGCTTGTCCTCACAATGCTATAAATTGATTACTTCATCGACGCATGCCCTCACAACGCTACAGATTGATTACTTCATCGAGGTATGTCCTCCCAACGCTAGAGATTGATAACATCAACGAGGCTTATTCCTCGCAACGCTAAAATATACATCATCGAGGTATTCCCTCGCAACAGTAAAATTATATCACCTAGACGCTGTTTCCTCGCAACAATGATTCTCGGCTTCGTGCTAGCCTAGATCCAACTACGGGTCTGGCGACCGTAACGGCCTATTTTCGGACAGCATGTTCGTCCTAGAGATGTGTAATGTGCTGTGCGGGTAGGCTTCCGATAGATAGAATTACCGTCGTGGGGGGAGAACGGCCCCAACCGGTAGCCCCAAACTCCGCTTGTGCTAGAACGCCCAGGAGTACTTTTGTTGTGCTCCTGTTAACTGTCGTAACTTTAAATCTGCCGCCACATGCCCTTAATAACTTGTGTATTTGCAGCCAGTTACTTTAATTCAGATTTTTCAAATTTGTGATATTCAAATTATTTGCATTGATTCCAAACAGATGTATAGGATTTTGCGTTTGTTCGTTTTTCACATGTGTATATCTGTCAATTCGCGAGTGTCTTTTCTTTCATATTTTTAAAGTGTTTCATTTGAAATGTAATATGTCCGTGAATATACGGTAGGGGTTTTTGGGGCTGAGGAGTGAATCTTCGCAGCTTCTTTCCTCCTGAGAGGGGCGCTATTTTAGTCCCTCCAAACAAATTTTGTCTATTATTTCTTGCGCTCTCGACTCACACGCAGTGTATGCTCACTTGTATGAAAGAACGTCTTCCAGCCATTTTTCAAAAAACACAACGTAGGTTTCCATTTTGTTAGACGATCACAGCTAAGGCAAAATTTTGAATTTTTGAATTTTTCGCGGGCTTTTCAAACTTTTTCAAGGTCAATTTAAAGGCGGGAAGTTTGGGGTATCACATTGTGATGGCGTACTATCGCAATGGAGTCTTTGAAGATGGAGCATGGCACTATTTAATTCATGCTTGCATGAATGAATTTCTAGCCACGTTTCCTCAGTTTGACGCCAACAATTCTACTCTAAAGAAGCATATCAGAGACCTGGTAAACCGTTTTACTCAAACAGGAACAGTACACGAGGGCAAATCATCAGAACGACCTGGTGTGTTTGAAGACATTTTTCAAAACGATGGAAGAAAATCCAAGAACTTCTATGCGTGTGTTAGATCATTACTCATTATTCCTTAAATCGTTTCAAAATATTCTTTTTAACTTCCTTCAACGTACTGATTTGGTAAAAAAGTTACTAAATGGCGCCTGCGAGATAGATAACCAGTAATTCAGAGTTTAATAATAATATTCCCTAATTCTGAAAGCGGCAAATTTTGATCCCTACAGTTTTGACAAGTTTCTCATAAGCCACTTGATCTACAAACATTTATAGACACGCTGTATATGTTTAGAATACCTTCTCGCATTTATAAAGATTGCACTTTGATTATTATCACTTCGCCTCTGGTAAGTTCATAGAATTAGAGATCTGAGATAGAGGAGTTCTTAAACAGATACTGCAGCAGATATATGCTCAGCATCGTACATCATAAGAACACGTTCAAAAGGTGATAAGGATGTTTTGTCTGTGGGGTTGGATGAAACAATTAGTTTATGGAAATCAACAGCGTCCAGAAACTATCGAAGAGCTTCAACAACGAGTGGAAGTGGCAGACGCTATAATTCGTAGAACTCCCTGAGTGTTTTCACGTATCCGTGCAAACATGTTGCGACGTGTTGAAGCCTGTATTGCTAGTCAAGGACCACATTTTCAACATTTATTGTAAGAGGTTTGTAAATTCTATGTTGCTCCTAATTTTATTCTAATGAACAATGTGGAATGTTATGGCAGGAACCAAACATCCGTCAGAATTAAAAGTCTATTACTATGAAGCATTACCAAAAATCGGTCCTCCTCAGGACCACCATTTGTTTCTACAATTAATAATCCTTCGTGTTGACCTTTAACGATGAATGAACGAATGATAACCCGTAAAAAGTTGGTTTTATCTTTAATTGAAACTGAAAGTGTTTACATCGTTTTTATTTGAACGTTTTTTTCCTACTGTTTTAAAAAAAATCGACTTTAGTGCGTATGTTTCGAAATCACCCTGTATTTAATCATTCTGCTTTTTCGTTTGGTTGTGGACTGGGTAGAGAAAAATCCTGAAGAATGCCTTTAATTTTCGTCTACAGTTTAAAGTTCTTTGGTTATGATAATTTTTTGTTTCTCTAATAAAGTCTTTTAAATGTTTTTAAATGAAAAATCCTTCACTTTCCTTATTGCGGTTTTCTTTGGATAATAGTCTAGCTACCAATTTCGGCAAGGTTTTATCATTTTCTTGAGTAGATTCCCTGGCAGTCCTGAAAAAACCATAATTTTGAGAAGGAGATGACAGTATTGTTGACATTGGCATATTATTATCAACTATCGGATTTAGAATTTTTAATATGTGTGCAATACTCTATTTTACTACTTTTGATTATTTCAAACATTTCTTTGCAGATGTTACAGTCCATAACATGAATCATGCATTTTTGTCTGTTGCGTAGTCACAATTAGTTTTCGCGCTTTTGCGTCATTTCTCACTCATTCAATTTTGTCCTCCTCTTTAGCCACACTAGATAGGAGCTTGTCTCCGTATGCTATTTCAAAGAGATCATAAACTTTAAATGTTACTCTTATTTGAAATTTGCATAACTGATACGATTCCGACAACGCCATTAATTTTTTTTTGTCATTGTAAAATTTTTTCCTTTTCGACTTTTAATTATTTCATTTTTTGAAGATTTTAAAATTTTTATGTCTAGTTTTACTGCCTTAGTACTTGGCCAGTATCCTGGATCCATAACCTGTTGAACTTTCAGTTTTTTTACTTTTACTTTTTTTACTCCAAGAAAATTGGAAATATTGACTTTCAACTGTGGGGGCTGTCCAGTCCCACAAAGTTGTATATTTGTATATAATCTGTATTTAATTACTTCCAACCAGTATATCACCCCGAAATTTTCTCTTCGTCCACCTGCATGTCGTAAAACCTATCTTTTGTTCACCCTTCTCAGTAATACTTATCCTTTCTCAGATTTAAAATACCATTCAAGAATCCTTTAGACACAACTGTTTCCACCGCTTTCTACCGACCTTTCTTTTCATTTCAATTTCACAAACTCCAAGACTCTTCCTTCATCTGCCGTACCGACAACATCAAAATAAATATGCCTAAACGCAAGTACTGTTTCAATCATCTGATCACTCCACACAACTTTTTATTTTCTTATTATTTCTTCATATTTACGTATACAAAAATAAAAAACTTTGAATTTGTGCAACATCTAACTGGAAACAGAAAAATCAAATAAATAAAAAAAACAAAGTAAACCATTAACCAACGTTAACAAATCTCAATAAAAAAATTACAAGATTTTCAAATAGTCCAAGTTTAAAATATCCAAAATAATGTACAAGTTAATGAAAAGAATACAAAATTTTCTATACTTGCGTGGCTTCCGGTAATAATAATTTGTCGAATTGTAAAACTGTATTTTACCCACATACAGTTTACCGATAAGTTCATATTTTAAAAATATTTATTCATCAGCAAAATAATTTGCATATTTCTCAGTATCCTCAGGAAAGGTAGCGACTAATAAGGAATAGATGAAAGTAGAGATGTGCAAATTGTTAAAACTGAGATTATTATTATTATTAATATTAATATTATTAACAATTAAACAGATTCCATTTCTTCGGTCAACCAGAGTTTTGGAAATCCCATAATATAATAATCTCATCATAATATGTACAACATACAATACAACTTAGATTCTATGATTTGAATACAGTTGCACTTTGCAGCATCGTCTCATTGTCAAATTTCTCACAGTTCAACTCCAGTCCTAACTGCGACGGGCATTTCTTAAAATTGGATTTTGTTAAATAAATACTTCTATCATTACTAAGTCGTACAATTTTAAGAAGACTTATATTTGTACTGTATGTTCTCACGTCTTTTAGAAATGCAGAATGTTTCTTTCTTAAGCAGCTCTATGTAGTGGTGAGATAAAAAATAAAGCAAAAATAAAATAAAAACACTCAAAGACAATGCAAGGATGTTACAATTTTACTATAATAATTTGCATATCTAATTTAAAAAAACTTTCGCAAAAATTTGCATAATCTTGCTGTTCAGAAATTGGTTTGAAATTAACCATAATTATAATTACTATTTGAAAAAATAAAAAATGTTACTTTGATAATCCTCCCAAAGTAGTGCTAAAAAATTGCACTGAGCTTTAGCGGAGTTTGAACTCAAACCATGAATAATTATTATTATTGCCAAAAAGTACAACTAATGCAAAATTTCCATTACGCAAGTGTAACAATAACAACAACAAGTTACTGTCAGTAGTATCATAACATTGGAATGGCAAAAGCGACAAACTTGTTGCAAATTTTTTCGCATTTTACATTTTTTTTTGCATATTCAATTTAACGGTCTGATACGGCGTTTAAATGCGACTTGACTTCTTGATATATGAACTACCTTGACAGTGCAGACGTCAATTATCACCTTTACGTTGTCATTGACCATATTTGCTTTTTTTTCAGAAAACAACAATTTGGCAGTAACTACAAAAGCAATCGATTCGAGCACTAAACCTGACGTCGTGTAGAAACCCGAAATTTTCCATCGCGTTTTTCTACTTGCCACTATGTTGACTTGTTTGATTTTGTTGCTAATTTCTGACAAAATAATTGCTTCATCTAATGTTAAAATCAGCACTCCTTTGGGCGAAATATTAGGATCAACAATTCTGAAATCACGAGCAGGTAGAACGATTTATTCTTTCAGAGGGATTCGTTATGCCCAACCACCAATTGACGACCTTAGATTTCAGGTATTATTAATTTAGTGATTTTAAAGTATACACAAATGTTCACTTAGCCTCCAGTTCCTATAACAATTTGGTCTGGTGTTTACGATGCTACAAATGATGGCCCAGCTTGTCCTCAGCCTCCAAACCCTGGGATTACTTTCCCCACGTCAGAAGATTGTTTGTATCTCAACGTATATACGCCTAAGGTTAATATTCCCAAATCAAATAATTTTTGTGACATTTTGTTGTAGCTTCCAAGCAAACAAGAGAAAGTTAAACTTCCAGTTATCATATACCTCCACGGTGGAGGCTTTATTATTGGAACAGCACGTAGTGACGTGTTTGGGCCTCAATTCCTTCTCGATGAAGACATAGTTTTGGTAGTCGTCAACTACCGATTAGCTACATTTGGTTTTATTTCCGTTAATGAAAACGTCCCAGGCAACAACGGTCTTAAAGATCAGGTAGTAGCTATGAAGTGGACAAAGAAATACATATCAGCGTTTGGTGGTGATCCAAACTCAATTACCTTGTTTGGCTTCAGTGCAGGTTCTTGTAGTGCCAACCTTCACTTGGTTTCTCCAATGTCTCGTAACCTTTTTAATAAAGCAATTATTAGCAGTTGTTCAGTGTTAGGTCCATTGCCTCTACCAAGCCACCAGTTGGATTTGGCTCGAAAACAAGCTCGATTGGTTGGATGTCCGGATGACAATCCCGAGGAAATTTTAAGTTGCTTGAGGACAAAATCTGCTGACGAAATAGTTAATACGTTTCCACAATTTAATGTAACAGAATTTTCCGTGTTTTAAAAACATGACCTACATTTTTTCGCAGGAATTTGCCAATAATCCAACCTTAATCTGGCTTCCTGTAATAGAAAAAGACTATGGCCAGAAACGGTTCCTCACCGAGCATCCAATAAAGTCCGTTGTGAAGCATCGTTTTCAGGATGTTCCTATTTTATCAGGAATTGTCAAAGACGAATTTGCTGACAATGCAGCTGGTACTTACTTTTAAAGTGACGGAAGTTTTAATTCATTCTTAATTTTTACTTTTTCAAGTTATAATCAATAATCCTAGTTTATTAAAGGAACTAGATGACAACTTTGACAAATGGGGACCGGTTATTTTCTTGTATGAAAGAGGCACCAACAGATCTAAAGAAATTAGTCGGCAAGTAAGAAAGTTTTACCTGGGGGATGGACCCCTAAACAATGCATCTCTTCATGGATTAGAAAATGTAACAATAATATACATAGTGATATTTTATATTACAAGCAACTTTAGGCTTTCATGGACGCTCTTATTGGATTTGCTACTAACAGGCTTGTTGGTCTATTTTCTCTATACGGTAGAAGAAAAGTATATTATTATGAATTCACATATCATGAATTAAATAACACAGATCGTAAAATACACGACTTGAATTATTATATTTTAACTCTACTTAAATGTTTTAGTTGTGATGCATGGTACGGATCAGTTATATTTATTTTATACTCCTGCTCTAGCCGCAGTGTATCCTAGTCTTCCTAACCTTAATGTGTCCAACAAGATGGTACATTTGTGGTCAAATTTCGCTAAATTCGGGTAAGCTTTTAGTGTCATATTTTGTATTGTTTTTGCAATTTTGCGATTAATTAAGGGTTGTTTCAGATTATATATTTATTAATTTATTGTAGGAATCCCAACGGAGCTGGTGACAACAATGGAATTGTTGACTGGAAACCTTATAATCGAGTAACGAAAAAATATTTAGATATTGGAGACAATTTTGTTTTACGAAATAATTTACGCCAAGAAAGATATGCATTTTGGAGAAAACTATATCCGATCGATATTTGTTTAAAACACTAAAACAGCTCTGAAGATTTAATCTTGCTTATGTTTTAATATCGGGCAATTACAAAAGTGTGCACTTTATAAAAAAAACTATTCACAGTTTATAAATGAACATGATAATCACTTATTATGACGGCTATTTAAGTTATGTAATCTTCAATATTATTTCACTAGTGGTGTAATGAAGTTCATTATACAACTCATTTGGATCTTCACGAATAAATTTATATGGAACATTTTATTTAAGTAAATTACAAAAAATAAATCACTGATGTATTAGGGTTACTATAGACATTATTAACATTGTGTTCGCAATTGGATATATTGATACCAACTGATGTGGTTACAGTAGACGCAAACATTTTGTGCGTTTATGGCTTCACACCAATTTAACTCCCATTATAATTCAATAAGACGTCACAGCCGGATGTCTTAAACCCGCTTACTGATACAACCCTGACACGTGCCATGGGTTGCATTTGCTAAGTTTTACGGAGCGTCGGCTGTAAAGTACTTTAAACGTGAAAGCCATAAACGCACAAAATGTTTGCGTCTACTTTACGTGTGCAGTGTTTTTACTCTCTTTTTATAGTGATGTATTGTTCGTACATATATACTTGCCATAATTTCTTCTAAAATTTTAGTGCCAACTTTTTTTTAATTTTATTTTAATGTTTCAATGAACCCCTCCGCCACTGTATTCGATTTCCAGCTTCCATGGCGTTTTACGGTTAAGAGGTCTGCTCCAGAATCTGCAAGCATCGAAATGGAAGAACGTCTGAAACAATGCCCAGTGTACTCTTTAGGATTTGATAAATTCAAAAATGTAACGATGTTTTTTAGCATACTCCCAAATGTACGAAAGCCTACAGGTTCTATTGCACAAAGACCTTTTTTGTAGTAGCATTAATTTATTATTTGCCTTACAGGCTTATTAAGACTCCCAGTAGAGATACAAATTAACATAATCTACATAATACAAATAAATCAATAAAAATAAATAAAATAAATGTTCGAGTTTTATATAATAATAATTGTTCAATTCTTTCTATTTGCCCACTCCTTGCCTTAGTTCCCGTATCTTCTGTAAATCTTTCATCCAGTCCAGTCCTTTTCCATCCTTGTTTAGCACTTCTTCCCTGCTTTCCTCCGATTCTCTCAATCCTTCACATCCTTCCAGCATATGCTCTATTGTTTCTTCCTCTCTTCAACATATCCTATACTTTCTGCCAGTTTCATCTATCCAAAAATTATTCTCTTTTTCGTCACTTCACATCTAAATCTCGCCATCATTCTTTTCTCTTTTATACTCTCTCTCTGTGTGTGTGTACTTTGGTACTTCAATCTTTACTATTTTTCTATACTCTGCATTATATCTAGGCTCCGATATTCTCGATCTGCGTTCTTGCTTATCTACATCCTTTTCTCTTACACTCAATTTTTCTTTCATACTCTTTCCCATTTCTCTCATTCTCTCTATTTCTTACCATGCATATCCCTTTCCTTCATAATACTTGTCTCGTTCGTTCCAAACATGTTTTCCCCCTTCCTTTCTTATTTCTTTCCAACATTCTTGCAATATTTTACAATCACCTCTCTCACTAAACTTCTCTTCAAATTCAACCGCCCTTTTACCCGATTCCACTCTCATTTTCTCCCTTTTTGGTATATTTATTTTGCAGCATTTTTCCTCACAATCTCCCAATAATTCCATAAAGTGTCTTTTCCATTCATGTATTTTGATTTTCCTACTGGCTTCAGTCTTCCTTCTCCGTTCCTTCTTCTGTTTTGAGGGACTTTATTATCTTCTTTTCTTCTTCTTCTCGTTTTTTTCTTTTTCTTTCTTCACATTTTCTCCTTAATTCTCTTGCTTTTAAGTACTCTTCTTTCCTTCTCCCGTTATTCTTCCATTTTCTTAATTTTTTCCTTGCTTTTCTCTGCAACTCACTACATTCTCCGTTCCATCCATTATTCCTCCCTTGCCGTATGTATATCTTTCTTTTTTTCGTAGCTTCTACAATTAAGTTGATCAGTTCTGCTATCATAGCTTGTATGTCTTTTTTTACTTCGAATTTCTTTTTTTTAGTCTACTTCTGTATCTTTGAATTCCTTTTTCATCCCATATTCTTTTTCCTATTTCTTTTCATTCGTTTCTTCGCTCTTGTTTTTCGTACTCTTGCTCAAAAACCTTTCATGTATTCAACAAAAAATCTTCCATGCTTGGATATACTGAAGAGGTAATGTCAAATATTTCCTAATTATTTCCACCATATCAAGTCCCTGAATCCCACCAACCGTTACAAAAAATTCTCTGTAAGGTTTGGTTTTGGTGTAATATAAAAAGATACTATTACATCGATACTTTTCTTCACTTGAATTTGTTTGGATTAAAATATTACGTCTAGTACGGAAAAAAAGAACTTTTCTCTTATTGCACAAATAACTGTTCTTTCTACGGTTCGTCTCTTCTAATAATTTAGTCTGTTTAATCGATCAACACGTCCTGCTCCTATTTTATGATGTGAAGTGATTTTTTATTACAACTGATAATTTTTGAAACGTAAAAACTGGTAAAAAGTAATAATTACTCGCTGGGTTGGGTGTTTCAAATCAAACTGCGTTGTAATAATATTTATCAAGGCATTTTATTAGGTATTACCTTTAGTCAAAATATTGTTTATTTACAACGTAGAACAAAATATGGACTATTTAGGACGGAAGTAATTATTTCTAGACGCCAACAATCTTATCTGAAAGTACTGTAAAATTTATTGACAAATTGTTGTCAACAAAATGCTGCAATTAGGTTTATATGGATATTGTATTATCATTCTAATTATCGGTGACTTATGTATTAAATAACGCCTAAGAATTTGATAAACATTTTCTTGGTTTCGAAACGACTGTCAAATTTTGACCCAAATCGTCTTCGAAAACACAGATGATTTAGCCACACACATTTAGATTTGAGAACACAAAAATTTCCAGAATTAGTAGTAATACATCTCAAATTTTAAATCTCAGCAGAAAGCTGGGGGTTCCTATTTAAGATTTCAAAGTTACCCCCGGCCCCACCTATAAGGAGGGGGAAGGGCGACTAGTTTTTTTGTTTTAAAATATTTCCCCCCATGGAATGATTAAATTCTAAAACTGGCTATTTTTTGTAAAGTGCTTATTTTTCGAGATATTTTAAAGTTTCACCCTGTATGCTAGGAATATTAGACAAATAGCAAAACGCTAACCAAATTTTCTAATCCCATCCACCAACAATTTGATGACCTACCTTCATCATTCTGCGTAGTTAAAGTTACTTAAATTTTATAAAATAATATAATCCTGTACTTATAGTTTGTTTGTTTATTATTGTTCTTACTAAAGTTGGTCTTTAAATACATGATACCAACCACACGAACATGGGCCTTTTTTTACTTACATTGTGACTGGTTTATCTTTCATTTAGCAGTCCATTTTTATTATTTTTTCCATAGTTAAAATGTCAGTTTTGCGAAGAAATAGATAGCCTTGCACCATTTTTTTGTATTAAAAAAACAATCGCAGATTGTAAGCCTTGGCCGTCCCAGCTTCCTGTTCATGGTTTATGGTTTCTTAGAATAATGCCTGTACACCCATCTAAAATCGACTTCGAGGCAGCAGAGGAGTCCTTATTGTGAGTGAAACTTTATTTAGAAGCGCTTATGCAGAATGAAAAAAAATAATAATGAATGAAGCTTGTGTACTGTTATTATTAGTATTACAGTCCATTTATCCAAATTAGTATGCTCACCGTTATTGGAATGTTGATGACGTCATCACAAAATTTTCTATTATAAATTTTCGAAAAAATTTTATAATTATTATGTGCTTCAGACAAATGAACTCCTGTCCTGAGTACAAAGAATTGTAGTTTGTTAACATTGCCAATCATAATTTTTTACGTCGTCCACATAGTTTAGAGATATATTTTAACATTATAATTGAAACTTTTCAAGGAATCCTGTCTAAGTTACCTAATGAACTGGTTAGCTATAACAACAAATGATTTAATTGTACTACGATTAGTGACTACTTCTAAAACATGGTTATCAAAAGTTTTCCATCATCAAAATTAATTCCAAGATTTTTATTAATGGAACAAGGGTACTTCAAAATATTAATACAACAACGTATCTGGATATGATAAACGATTTCGTAAACACCAATTTGCGATAGCATCAAGATTTTTTATAGTGCTGTATAATCTTCGATAATATTTATACTGATAACGATTTTTTTGTCCTAAAAAAAAAAACTCATAGTAGTTTGTAGTCTTTATTATATCTTTAATAAAGAGCTGAAATAGTTATGGCCGCAGATTTTACCCTTGAAAGATTCCAGATGACAAAATTAGCACACTCAATTTTTTTCATAGTTAAACACTATCTAAATCATGTCAAAAGGAACCAAAACGAAAGGACAACACCTCAGAAAAGTAAAAAAACACCATTATAAATAACATAGTTTATTATATTTTATATACAAACTTAGAGTACAACGATTTTATTAAAACTAACTTAATAATCAGAACACAGTTCTACTTGCGAAATTTGGTGATTATTCCTTGTCTTTCGAAAAGCCTTGAGATAAGTCAACATTAAATAAACCATAAAAATTAATAAAGAACACATGACAAACTGCAATATTATACTTATTGTCACTAAGCTATTACTAGTATTAACTGGTGGAGCTGCAACTAACGCAGATAATGCAGGTTTCTCACTAACCACACTTTTAGAACTATTGTAATCAGAAAAAAATTTGACAAAATTGGTTTCGTTGTAATTTTCCCTAAAGAACTTAACGAAATTAGAATTCTCAAAATCTTCGTTCAGGAAACGTTGAAATTCGAATTTGTTCAAAGTTTCGTTGAGAAGATTTTGAAATTCGTCGAACAACTGTTTCATTGAAACATCGGGGATATTTTCTTGCGACGAAATTTTATCATTTTGACAAGCAACGCCATGAAAATTTTCAACGTCATAAGAATTGCCTTCTTTGATAGTTATTCCCATTTGGTTTAAGGACTGACTCATTTGTATCAGTTGTCTACACTTCCAAGAATTACCGTTCAGTGAAATGTTCTTAAGCGAAGAAAGATGTTTACTCATATCGTCTACATCGAACGAAGAAATTTTGTTGAAACTGAAATCTACCAATTGCAGCTTTTGTAACGAGTAGAAATTGTAGGGATGCAACTCCAGGATTTTATTATAGGAGATGTCTAAAACTAGTAAAGATTTTAAATTTTCGAATGTTCCGTGTTGAAGTTCCTCCATAGAATTATTTGCAAGGGAAAGATACATTAAACTAGTTAAGTCTTTGAATAACCTTGGTTCAATTTTAGTAAGAGTATTACTCTGAAGGAATAAATATCGTAAACGTGACAAGTCCCGAAACGCATCTTTTTCGATTAGAGAAATATTATTGAAACCCAGGTGTATAACTAACATGGATTTTGAGTCGTTGAACAACGTATTGTTTACGATTTCCAACTGATTATTTGCCATATTCAGACTCAACAACTTTTTAAACCCACCATTTATAAACCTAATTTTGTTATTACTAAGATCAAGAGTGTCCACCTGAAAATTTTGAAAGTTTTCTAAAGTACTTAAGTTATTGTTAGACACATCTAGGGTTTCAACATTCCGAAATTTTGAAAAATCGACTCTGTCTAAATGACTCGATGTTAAATTTAAAACTTTCATAGTTGAATTCAACTCTGGCAAAATTGAAACGTCTTTCAAGGAAGTATTACCTAAATTTAGATAATTTAAACCTGTTAAAGGCAAATTTGGTACTTTAATTAAAGGATTTCCTGATAAATCTATATCCGACAACTGGCTTAATTTGTCAAAAATATTGTCGTCCAGTTGTGACAACTTGTTGTTCTGCAAGTATAACGTTTTCAGGTCAGACACACCCATAAGTGCATATTGTTCAATCCGCACTAAGTTATTTTCACTTAAATCTAAAATTTCCAACCGGTGTAAAGACGTGAATATTCCTTTTGAAATTTCAGACAAATTGTTATTGTCAAGGTACAACTCCTTCAGTTTCGTCAATCCAGTAAAGGCCCCCGGTAAAATGGTTTGAATGTGATTGTTGCTCAGAAACAACTTCAGGATCGTTGTAAACTTAGACAGCTCATTTGAATGAAGCGTGGTGATGTTAGAATCGTCGATTTTTAAAAACTGATCGTAGAATTGTTCTTTGTAATTCCAAAATATGTCACTAATGGTATAAATGTTGGAACAAGTAATCGTACAATTGATTGTTTGTACATAATAACTTGGGTATCGTCTTCTATACAAGTTGTAATTATAATCTGAGTTATTGCGACAAAAATTACTACATCCTAAACACTCCGTGACAAGAATAGGAAGGATTAAAAATATCAGTTTCATATTTCTGTAACACCATGATATTAAAATTAATTTAGTAAAAATTAAAAATGTACTTACTTCGAAAGCGGTACCAAATAGTACGATGTATTATATAAATTCACTGAAACTATACTAACTCAGTGTTAGGTTGTGTAGGAACTAAACAAAAAGTAATCAAGATGTGGGTGTTGTCTGGACATTTCCACCTGTCTATAACTTTATTTCATCACTTGAATCAGTTTTATCTAATCTGAACTCGTGTGTGTAAACAACCGTAATATAGGATTAAATCATCGAAGTATTCAATATAAATATAGACATTGCGGATAAACAATATCTTGTATATTAACTAGTTTGTTTAGACGCTTAAAATTAAAAAAAATCCGTAAATGTTAAATTCAAGCTTGGTGCTTATAATTTGTGGGATTTATCTGAGATCAAATTGGTTTCAGCATGCTGTTTTTTTTATCCATCATTCTTGTTTTATTTTCTTCACTTTCGTGCGTTTTTCTTTTCCCGTTCTCTCTATCTTTTTGTTTGTTAGTGTTGTGCTTCACAGCACTTTTTTGATCTACCTAACAAGTTTTTGAAGGTTTTGCAAGTTTTTATAGTTCTTTTAATTTTACATTGCCGGTGATGTTAATCTCAGAAACTACTGGTTTCGATTACTGGGTGACTGAAAAAATTAACGACTGAGTCAATTTCTTTTATTATTTAAATCAAGAATCTTTGCTTTGAACTTAAAACGTCTGCAAGATTTCAGAGCATCCAGTTTTGCAATTCTTGATTTAAACAACAAAATAAATTGACTCAGTCATTAATTTTTTAAGACACCCTGTATAAGCAAATTTAAAAAATATTAAAGCAGTGATAAATTACAAGTGTAGACTCATCATACTTTGCACATTTAGGATCTGATTTGTTTAGCAAAATTTTGAGGTAACGTCATCAATTTTTAGGGGGAGATGAGCAAATACATTTTGATCAAAAATTTACCATGCTTATGATAACATTAAAACATCTGTCTGTCTGATAAAACTCCGTGACGGCAGACAGACAGATAGACGGACAGAGAGACACACACAGACAGACAGACAGACAGACAGACAGACAGATAGACGAAAAAGGGAGACCTATTTCTTGATACTCTAGGGATCATGAAAGGTCTAGAAAACCTAAAAGTAGAGAGTCGGCCGACGGACTCGATTACAACACTTTCTTCGCTTACGCTCGGAAAGTAAAAAATTCAGTGGCTCCGCCCACCCGCCCCGTTTTTTTTTGATCACTAATTTTATTACACAAAATAGAGGATTTTGTATCTATAAACAGTGGATTCTAAACAAAAAAAGTAAAACTAACCCCATCCACTTCATCTTTTGAATTTCATTGGTTATTTACTCTGAAATAAAAATTGAATTGTATTTTGTCAAGTGGATAAATCTACACTTAAAAAATTAAAGGTGACTCCGCCCACCCACCCTGTTTTCTTTTTGATCAGTAATTTTATTGGACAAAATTGAGGATTTTGTGTCGCTGAACAATGGAATCTAGACAAAAAGATAAAACTAACTCCACCCACCTTCTCTTTTGAATTTCATTGGTTTATTTTATTTACTCTGAAATGAAAATTGAATTGTATTTTGTCAAGTGAAGGAATCTACACTTCAATTGTATTGTATTTTTGTATATTTTGGCCAGAGTTTTGTTGCTGTTATGGGTAAAGTACTTTTGACTGAAGTTGGAAGCTGCAGACTTCTTAGAACTTTTACTTCCCCAGCATAAGCTAAGAAAGCTTTGTAATAGAGAGCATGCGGCGAATGGCTATTTTCATATTTTCTCGATCTTTCATGACCTCCAGGATACGAAAAAAAGATCTGCTGTTTTCATCTGCGACTATTTGTTGACTGTGTCGTTATCGCGCTAACCAGAATTTGTCTAATCATCCCCACCAACAATGTGAAAAATTTTTCATGCTAAACAAAATTTAAATTTTATAAAATAATATATTCCTATAGGTGTGCCCTATGAATCCGTCTTGATTTTTACCTTAGACATCCAGAGTGTTGGAAAACAAATATTTAATAAAACATAAGCTGATGTCTCTCAAAAGAAGACATTAAAATCGGTAGAATGAATGTTTGTTAGGGTATACTTTCCTACCATTCGTATCAGCAAAATTGTCAAATTTCTACGAATATTATCGGTTAAATTATATCGTACAATATTCCTTGAATTTTGTCGCCTTATTGTGATGATTGATGACTAGTCGTCGGCGCCTGTCTCATTTTTATCAGCACTTAAATTTCCTGATCTTTTTGATTATATCTTCTGTTTGAGAAATGTGCAGCCAGTAAGTTGAATGGCATAGTCTTCTTAAAAGCAGATGCTCCAAAGTTTGTGGCACAATATTTTGTAATCACGGTGCACTAAAATATTTATAGAAAATGTGTTAATTTGTTTAAGTTGACGGTAGTTAGAATAGTTACACTTATTACACTATATTCCTAACACATGTATATTTGAGAACATTCGGTCCGGTAGTGTTCAGAAACTGTCTGTCTAATAAAAACCAACACACACGGTGGACAGACGACAGATGGACGGACAGACGTAAACGAGAGACCTACTTTTGCGTACTCTTAGTTAGTAGACAAAATCATTTCAGAGACGCAACTATTACGGTTAAGGTGATGTTATCCGTTTAGTTTTCAGTGAATTTACAGTAGATTTTGTTTCACAAATACTAGACAACTAGTTGGAAACTGAACCCAATTTTTTTTTTACAATATCTTTGATATGCTATTAGTGTCCGGAACTTATAAAATTGGAGAAAAAATGACCTGTTTTGCTCTAATAAAATCGCAAATATGCTCAAAATCACACTAATATTAGGTCCGACTGTGCCGACCATAGTTATAAAATTCACATTAAAGTAAGTCATGGACATTCTTTGAAGTGTTTACTATGATATTTCAAAAAAAATAAAAAATTCGCGATTTGTAAAACTTCATAATTTTGATTTAAAACTGATTATGTTTGAAGCTTATTTTATTCGTTCCATTTGCTGTCTCTTGCTGCGTTCTCTCTCGGATTGGGGTATAACACCCACCGAACGTTCTTGGACCGATGGGATAATTTATTACTTCCGACATCTTTTCGGTGACAAATTTAATCTTTGCATAAATTTACTTCAGTGTAGTTAGTGAACTCGTTGTGACCACTGAAATATATAAAGAGTAAATTTTGAAATGGGACGAAAGTCGAAGATTCCACTTTCAAAGCCACGAAAAAGTCGAAAAAACTTTTATCAGAATTATTGTGTCAAAAACCTACTAAAACTACAAACAAAAAATGCAAATTAATCATCATTTGATTAGTTTTACTATTATTATGCTTTTATTTCCTAATTTCTGTACATATAAATATTATTGTTTTTTAGACCCGCCGCTGTTTTGATACACTTACATAAAGTGTAAGTCAATGTTACTAATAGAAATTTTAGTATTGTTACTTTATATGATCACCAATCCTATTGCTTCTCAGCTTTTTGTCAAAGATCAAAGTGTATTACCTGAAAGAATTTTATTTTGTTGAATAAAAGATTACCATAAACCTTATAATTAGCCGGATAACCATTCAGTATACACAGGTAGTTTCTATACCTCTTTAGTTTGAAGTTAGCCGATACTAACCAGCTAGGGAACCAGTTATAATTGAAATATGTAATCCAAATAATTGAAGGACTTAGTTTTAAGTAAAACAATTGGGTATATTTATAAATACGCATAAATAAAAACGAAACAAATTATTGGTCTCTAGTTTATTTTATAATTTGCATTACATCATGACATATAGGTACGTACTGATGCAGAAATTGGTGATTTTCTCGTTGCATTTCAGTATAGGGACACACTCAGTAGAACCATTTGGACACTTAAAATTGATTTTATTTTACTTGCCACAAATGTTTTTAAGTGTTACGCAAGTGATTGTTTTGTGTCCGAAAAATAACTGCATTTATAATTATTCGGCTGACTGATTTTTTTGTTGTAAATCAATCAGTTTCCCAATTAGATTATAATTGTTTGGTCTTACTATTTGTTGTCTTAATTTTTCGAAGTTCATTTTTGTACACATTCAGATTTTTATTTCTTATTAATTTCTTGTGGTCATTTTTATAAATTCGTATATGAAAATTAAACTGTTGACGAACGAAAATCGAACAATAATACACGACAAGCGGGTGCCGAACTGTTCCAGAGATTATGGGTGTCATAAATTACACCCCAGCTTACCAGTACTTCTCGTCTTTATTTTTCTACACGCAAACTTCTTGTGAAGACAATAACACGGCAAAATTAAAAATCCGACAGTTTTCATTTAGCAAACATCCCCTTAATAATGTGAATATAGATATCCGTCGATTAGCAACTGTCGCCAAAAGAATAATAATTTGACGAAACGGATTATAAAATTTTGTTTGAATTTTGATGACCTTACTTGTTTTCTACGCAAACAATCGGATCTTATGGCAAGTCAGTGCAAGAATCTACAAAGTCTTATTTCCGAAGAAGAGCAACCAACTGAGAATCCTCCCTTGGAGAGAATTTTAGACCCTAAGGAACATTCCAAAAAACGACTAGCTGAATACAAAATATCTAACCCCCAAACGTCAATAATAACGCAGATCAATGCAGACGAATTACAAACAACAAAGTTGAAAAGACCTGAAGCGCGATCAAAAAGAAAGAAACCGACCCAAGGAAAAAGAACTGAGTCCTCGCAACGCTATGATTCAACGGATAGTATACTTTCTCGTCCTGTTTCAGAAACACTGGAATGTGTAAAATCCCTATTCGACAATGATAATAACCACTGTGTTTAATTTCACTCAATTCAGACAAGGCTTAAAAATCAATTAAGAATATCTACAGATTCTTGTAAAAAGGACTGCGATTCTGATTCGTTCTCCCTTTAAAGTTCATTTTAAAATTCATCCTGGAATGGACCCTCAATGGGCTATATGCCCGTTAACCGAACCTTCAAGTTTTAACTATTCAAACTCGACGTTCTATTATTTGCCTCCAGGGAACTATTCTAAAAAATAATAAGCGCTACGACATGAAAAATTATGCCCCATAACGTATGTTTCAAAAGTTTTGGTTTTATTTTCAAGTTCTATTTAAATTGCTAATATACCCCAAAAATAT